GCGCGCCCCCGCCCCGGGCCGCGGCCCCCGGGCCCGCCCGCCGCGCCGCCGCGCCTCCGGGCTGGGGGGCCCTGGCGGGCGGCCGGGCCTCGGTTTCCCCATCTGTCAAAGAAAGGGGCCCGGCCGCCCGCCGCCAAGCCGCCGGCTCCGTCATGGCGCGACCTGGACGCGTGCCACGGACGTGCTCGGTGACCTTGACTCTAGCTGGGCGGCTGTCCTCTCTGAGCCTCAGTTTCCTCTTCTGTGGGTATACAGGCGGCGGGTGTACGTCCTGCTTCGCAGGAGCCACGCCTTCAGTACACATTTTTTGAGCGCCTACTGTGTGCCAGGCTGTGCTCCAGGACTCAGGGTAGGGGTGGGGGCGGGGTGCACAGTCCCTGGCTTGGTAGAGGCCGAGACACATCAGAGACAAAGCACAAGAGCCAAATCCCAGGCGGGTCAGCTGTGGTGTGAGCCAGGAGAAAAACAGGAGCCAGGGAGGGCCCGGGAGGCGCTGCTTTAAACAGGGTGCAGGACGGGGGTGTCAGAGAGGGCCTGGCACGGAAGAGGACGCTGTAACGGCAGTGAGGGGCGCCCCCTCCATGCACAGGGTGGAGCTGTGTTAGCAGGACACTGTCAAGAGGCCCGAGAGGCAAATGCAAAGGCCCTGAGACTGGACCGCCCTGGCGAATAGGCAGCCTGGGGAGAGGTCCAGCGCGGCCTGCTGCCTCCTGCCTGCCCAGGGCCTGCTCCCCGAGGGCCTGGGCTGACGCTGTGCTCTGAGGTTTTAAATTCTTAAGTCAGTTTTGAACAAGGGGCCTCCGGGTTTTATTTCGCACTGGGCCCTGCAAATCAATTCTTTCCTTTCTCTCTCTGATTTCTCTGTGAGTTGGGGTGGGATGGGGGGACTGGACCCAGGGGTGCTCTGACCCTGAGCTGCACCTGCAGCCCTTCTTTATTTTGAGAGAGGGTCTCAGTAGCTAAGGCTGGCCTCACAACCTGCCTCAGCTTGCAGAGTTTTTTGGGATGACGGGCCCAGCCCTGGTGCCTCCCGGGGATGGAACGCAGGACCTCATACAGGATTTAGGCTTATCTCAGATTTTGGTCCTAGGGATTGAACCCAGAGGCACTTTACCACTGAGCCACAGCCCTTTCATTTTTTTTTTTTTTTAATTTTGAGACGTGTTTTTGCCAAGTTGCTTAGGGCCTTGCTGACTTGCCCAGGCTGGCCTCAAACTTGAAATCCTCCTGCTTCAGCCTCCCCGGTCACTGGGGTGACCGGTGTGCATCACCAAGCCCAGCTAGACGGAGGCTGTCACCTTGAGGGAGGTGAAGTCATGGAGCTGTGGGCCCAGGAGGACCACATTCTGGCTCCAATTTTGAAAGAATAATTTTCCTTGTGCAGAATGGGCCTCAAAGAAGTGATTGAAACAGAGGTGTTACTTTATGGTCCTCCTGGGCAGTACAGCCTGCTCCCTGAAGAATGTAACTTCTTTGGGCCTTCCTGTTCCCTGTGCAGAGAGCCCTGGTCCCAGCTGAGCAGGCCCGCTGCTGCTGAGCTCATCCAAGCCCGTCCTCAGTGATGAAGGTAGATAACACTGTGAGACAGCACAGCGTGTTTTCCCCGTGCTGGGGATGGAACCCAGGGCCTCTCATAGGCAGGCAAGCTTTTCTGCCACTGAGCTACATTCACCCCTATTTCTAATTCTCTTAATTTATTTTTTAGATTTTGGTGTTTTTAGTTGTAGGCAGACACGATATCTTTATTTTACTTATTTTTATGTGGTGTTCAGGATCAAACCCAGGGCCTCACACATGCTAGGCAAGTGCTCTACCACTGAGCTACAACCCCAGTCCATATTTTGAGACAGGGTCTCACTAAGCTGCTCAGTCTGGCCTCCAAATGGCGGGGATGACCCGTGAGGCCATCACACCAGGACTTAAATCATTTGGGCTGGCTGGCTGGCTTTCTTTTTTTGCCGGGGTGGGGTGGGGGGACTGAACTCTGGGGCACTCGGCCACTGAGCCACACCCCAGCCCCAGTTTGTATTTTACTTAGAGTCAGGTCTCACTGATTGCTGAGCACCTCGCCATCGCTGAGGCTGGCTTTGAATTCTCGATCCTCCGGCCTCAGCCTCCGGAGCCGCTGGGATGACAGGCGTGGCCACCGCCTGGCCCTGGCCTTCTCTCTTGGTCCTGGGAGTTGAACCCAGGAGTGCTACCAAAGAGCTGCACCCCCAGCCCTCGATTGTAGTTTGTCTTTTGAGGCAGGGTCTCTTTTTTCCTGAGTAGTTACACATGACAGCAGAGTGCATTTCGATGCATGGTGCACCAGGGGAGCACAGCCTTCATTTCTCTGGTTGTGCACATCGCAGAGTCGCACCGAGCGCGCGGTCATTCGTGTACCTAGGGCAGTGATGACCGTCTCATCCCACCATTCACCTATCCCCCGTTATGGATCCGCGTCCACTGAACAGACAGAACTTTCGGCCTTGTTCTGGGGACTGGCTCACTTCCCGAGCATGCTATTCCCCAGCTCCATCCGGTCCCCTGCAGGGGCCATGGACTTATTCTCTTTTCCAACTGAGTTGAGACGGTCTTATTCGGCTGCTGAGGGCCTCGGTGACATTCTGAGGATGGCCTCCGACTTGCAATCCTCCTGCCTCAGTGTCCCGAGTCGCTGGGGTGGTAGGTGTGCGTCACCACATCTGGCTCAAGACAATCACTTCTCCAGCGAGATCTAGAACAAAAAGCCAGGCCCAGGTCTGTGGTCTCAGCCACCGTCAGGCAGAGGTGGGCCAGCAGACGGGCTCAGGAATCCATTTGAGTCCAGTCTGGGCAACGTAATGAGACCCATTAAAAAAAGGGCAGCAGGTATCAGCATGCTAGATCGGGAACAGGGTCAGCGGGGCAGGCCAGGTCAGCTGGCCACACGGGTCAGGCTGGGCGCAGCCTCGAGGAGCAGAGCGGGCGGCTGACCTCCTCCAGTGTGTTCCCGAGCCGCAGACCCCACAGGTCTCACCGGAGTCCCCGTCAGGATGGGCTCCAGAGTTTGGGGACAGAATGAAGATGGGGGCCTCTGCTTAGAGGAGTGCTGCTGGGTGTGGTGGGTGGCACAGTCCTGTCACTCAGCTGCTGAGCAGGAGGACCAGCCCCAGGCTGGACCGGGCAGCTCCGTGAGACCCTGCCTGCCTTTAGAAGGGCGTGGGAGCTGGACTCGGGGGTCCGGGTTCGACCCCCAGCTCCGCCAGAAGAGGAGGAGAGAGATGATCAGGAGCTTCCAGAGGGGCAGGGCCTTCTCTGGCGGGGACTGCATTCTGGGGGGGCCATGCAGCGCCCACCCAGCCCGCTGGGCGCTGGACAGGCCCCTTCTCTTGGGCAGCCACCTGGACTGAAGCTCGGGCATCAGCAGACTCGGTGGGAGACAGAGCCGGGCGCCGTGGGCACCGGGGGGTCAGCGTGGGCCTCTCTGAGGGCCCGGGCCTGTGGAGCGGAGTCGCTGTGAAACAGAGGTTTTCAAGTCGAAAGGCTTTTTCAGCCAGTGCAGGACCAGGACCGGGACCAGCTGTGGCCAAGAAGCCGACTGAGGGTCTGGGTCTCTCCTGGCACCGGGCTCCGGCGTAGGCACCAAGGCCAGGTGTCCTGGTGTCTGCTGAGAGATGGCCAGAGAGGTGAGTGGACCTGGCCAGAGTCACACAGTGGAGGTGGCAGGCCAGGGGTCAGGCTGGGCCAGGCGGCTCCTGCCCCCGGGGAGCTTGGGGACACCCGCTGGCCGGCCACACACCTGGCTTCTCCTGGGGGCGCAGGGGGCGTGCCGCAGTGCTGACGCTCCTCGGGTCATTGCCTGGGTGCCGGGTGCTGGGGCTGCGGGCGTGGAGCAGAGACCTGACCTCCACACACTGCTCACCACTCCCCAGAGGTGTGACGACCACAGACGTCCCCAGACACTGCCACGAATGCCTTGGGGTCAGAGCCACCCCAGCCTAGGTGCGCTGGCTGGTGGCATCCAGGAGTCACCAGATGCCGGTGGCAGAGGCTCTTGGTTGTGTGGCGGGGGGAGGCGGTGGGGGGGAGGCCAGCCGAGGCCCTGCAGGGAGAGTGTTGGGGCAGAAGGGACAATGGGGGGGTCACAAACTGCCCCCGTGTGGAGCCACCTGCCCCACTGTCCCCGGCTCCTCAGGCCCCACGGTCCACATCGAGGCCTTCCCTGGCCACCGGGTTCTCAGGGCCACACCTAGGGCCATCAGGGGGCCCCGTGTCCCAGCAGCCCAGCGAGAGTGGCCCCCGGGTTACAGATGGGCCACAGTGAGGGGTGGCTGGGTGGCCGTCACTCGGAGCCCCAGGAAGCAGGTGGCTGCCTTCCGGCCCTGCAGACGGCCCCTGCGGTCAGCTCTGGTTTGGAGCCTCTGGCCGGGCGACCTGGTCAGCACCTCAGGGTCTTCCCCCCATGAGGGTGCCCGGTTCTCGCCGTCCCTCTGTGGCGTCGGCAGGAGGTGGCCACCTCCCCTGTGTCCTCCCAGCACTGCCCCGTCCGCCTCACTGACTCTTTAGTTTTACTCATTAATCAGCAGGAGGCTGGAGCCCAGGCCCCTGTGCGCACAGCCAAGGCCAGAGCCGTCCGCGGGGCGTGAAGGGCAGCTGTTTAGCAGCTGTTTCTTATTTTGGTATTGAGGTCTGAACCCAGGGACACTCGGCCACTGAGCCACTCCCCAGCCCCAGTTTGTATTTTATTCAGAGACAGGGTCTCCCTGAGGTGCTTAGTGCCTCGCTGTTGCTGAGGCTGCCTTTGAACTCGAGATCCTCCTGCCTCAGCCTCCCTAGCTGCACTGCACCCGGCCCTTTTTTTTTATTTGGAGACCAGGTCTCACTTAGCTCCTGAGGCTGGCCTCAAGCTTAGGATCCTCCTGCCTCAGCCTCCTGAGTCGCTGGGATCACAGGCCATGTGCCCAGCTTGAAAAACAAATTTCAAAAGTTAGAAAAAAATCCTTTTAGGATCTTTTTTTTGTTTTTTTTTGATATTTATTTTTAGTTCTCGGCGGACACAACATCTTTGTTTGTATGTGGTGCTGAGGATCGAACCCGGGCCGCACGCACGCCAGGCGAGCACTACCGCTGGAGCCACATCCCCAGCCCTCCTTTTAGTTTTTAATTATCTGTTTGACACGGGATTTGTCACTGTGCTGCTCAGTCTGGTCTCCAAGTCCTGGGATTTCGGTCAGGCAGGATGGCTCAGGCCCGCCATCCCAGCTTCTCAGGAGGCTGGGGCAGGAGGCCTCAAGTTCAAGGTCAGCCTGGGCAACTTAGTAAGAACATTTCAAATCTCAAATCCTGTCTCACCCTCCCTGGTTGGCGCCACAGGCACCTGCCTTGCATGACACAATACACTCATTTAAGTTTCATTGACTGATTGATTTTTGTGATACTGGAGGTTGAACCCAGGGGTGCTACACCCCAGCCCGCCCGCCCGATCCATC